TGGGGGGAACACTCTCCTGACCTTCAGGCAGCGTGGGATCGGTTCCCACTCAGTGACGTTGTGGATGTGGGTGTGAATGGTTGTTTGTCCCTATACGTCCCCTGCGACTAGCTGGCGACCAATTCAGGGTGTAGTCTGCCTTCCGCCCAAAGTCAGCTAGGATAGGCTCCAGCGACTCCCCGCCACCATCTTCAGGATAAACAGGGTTGAAAATGGATGGATGGATGTTTGTGACTGCGTCAATGTTCAGAGTACACAGCACACACAGTGTTGGACTTCAGGAAGGACTGACGACCCCTCGCCCCACGGCACTTTGAAGGAACGGCAGTCCAGTTACAAATACCTTGAAGTCCTCTTTTCAGAGGACCTCACCTGGTGTAGGAATTCTTCCTGATTGCTGAAGAAGGCTCACCAATGTCTTTACTTCCTCCGGAAGCTGTGACGTGTCGGACTGGGTAGCCACGTCTTGTGGATCTTCGAAAGAAGTGCAGTGCAGGAGAGTGTCTTCAGCACCGGCATCACGCCATGGCACAACAATTGCAGAGAGGAAGGTTCTTCCAAGGCGTCATATAAATTTATTTTTAGTGGGTGGGAAGTTGAATTCGGAATTTCGAAACTACAATGTCAAATTCAGATCTGCTCATTTAGGAAAGCTTTGCCTTTCAAAGGGTATTGCTTGCAAAAGACAAACCACATAAAGGTCAAAGTTAGGCACTTTATTGATTTAGTCTTATTGACTCACAAAAGTTCAACCATGTCACAGACTCATTTTGACTTGCCATGCATAAAAAGAGTAGAAAAAATGGATTTTGATAGCATGGTACCTTCTATGGCTATTACTCTGATCTGGTTTGTATATACTGTACTATGAATTTGTAAATCTGATTCTTATGTCAATTTATGGCTGGTGAGGCACCAGCCATACATTTCACCGCACGTTATGTTTACAGGGGTTCAATATATCGCAATTTTATTGTATGTCAATTCTTTTTTTGAATGAGCCATGAATGATGAAAAGGCTGTGACCCCTGATAATTCCAGAGAGAACAATCTCATATAAACTTAAAAGTGTCACCGAGGTAATATGCGGCATCAGAATACAGAACGTTTGGGGATCTTGTACTACACTTTGTCAACTTGTTACTTGAAGTGCTAGAAACTGAAACAATATTCCACAACTGCCTGGAAACAATGTAGTGTTAAAATGTTTAGGTTCCTTCATTTTTTTCATTTTATTTTGATTTTTTTAGCTTCCTATTAAATACAAGTTAAGTGTTTGGGCCACCCCAAAATGACCTCTGTGGTCACCCTGGCCACCCCACTGAATTTTCTTTGGTTCAGCCCCTGCATAAAGAACCATCGATCCCTCCATTTTCCGATCCGCTTATCCTCACAAGGGTTGCAGGGGGTGCTGAAGCTTATCCCAACTGTCTTCGAGCAGTAAGCGGGGGACACCCTGAACCGGTTGCCAGCCAATCACAGGGTACACACAGACGAACAACCATCCGCCTCACACTCACACCAAGGGACAATTTAGAATGTTCAGTCAGCCTGCCATGAATGTTTGTGGAACGTGGAAGGAAGCCGGAGGACCCAGAGAAAACCCACACAGGCCGGATTGATTGAACCCAAGACCTCTGCACTGTGAGGTCGACACGCTAACCACTGGACACCGGGCCGCCTCAAATTATTCTTCTTATTCTTCTTTATATTTTTGTTCAATTTTCTCAGACTTTGAGAGCACTTTGAAGTGCATTGTAACAAAAGTCACGGGAGAAGTAAATGAGAATTAATGAGTGTATAAGTCCTCTGCAAGATATTGCAATTGGCTCTACTAAGTTCTCCAGCAGTGCATCTTCAATATTTCATCATGTTTTAAAATTGCAGCCACTCAGTGTCTGGGGCTGTGGTGCCACCGAATGGTGGCATGCAGTAAAGAAAGTGAGAGCAATAGGATGAGTTAGAAAAGCCTGCCACTGCATTGGATCTCATTCCATGTGCTTTGC